AGAAGGACTTGATAGGTAGATAAAATGCCAGATCTAGTCTAAACATCTGGCTGACTGTATGACCAACAATAATAATAAATTTATATGCCGCCCGACTCCCATCAACCTCTGGGTGGTTTACAAATTGTTTAAAACAATTAGGTCCCTTAAGACTTGGTTATGCCAGCAGCCCTGGGGACTCCAGGGCATGGGGGAATTAGTGAGATGGGTCCCTTATTTTTAACTTCCTTTTATTCTCTGTTTTATTTTGTTTTATATATTTTTAATGTATTTTACTGTTTTTTGCTTTGTGTATGCCACCCAGAGTCACCTGTGGTGAGATGGGCAGCTATATAAATTGATTTAATAAATAATAAATAAAACATTAAAAACAAGAAAAAAACAAGAGACAAAAAGAAGGGTAAAGATGGCAGAATGATAAAACTGGATGGGGACAAAGGGGAACAACCCAGTCTAAAACGAAGCTTCAGTCATCCCCACCAAAGGCCTGGGCAAGGAGCCAAGCCTTCAAGGCCCTTCGAAACACCAGCAGGGTGGAGTCTTTTAAGATCTCGGAGAGAACGTCATTACATAATTGTATCATTCAAACACAATGCTTGCCTTTCTTCTTTTGTTCTTTCTAATCTTTATATTCCATAAGCTGGTTATATATCTGCACTACACTGGTGTGTGCTTTAACTGTTTCAAATCACTCATCCCCTTCTGATGTAATAGCACAGCTATAAAAGAAATCTCTAATGACCCTTTTTTAAAATAGTCTGATCAGGATACCCACTACACTTTGTTGGTTTAATGCTCAGCATTCGATCTGTGGGACCCAGAAACATGAGGATAGATGTAAAGTAGAGCACGAAGTACTTCTGTGTGTTCTTTCAAGCTACCTCTGAAATGGGAAATGAGTATTCCCTAGATATGTTCAGTTACTCTTTAGAAAACAGAATGTGACTAACTTTGGGGAGTGGGAGACATGTCTTTGTTGTGCTTTTGGATAGTGGCTATTTTTTATAATTACACATTTCAAAAGCCACCCAACTCTTCAATGACTCTGTGTAGTATACAGAATTAAAAACAAAGATGTAAAATATCAAACAGAACACAAAAGGAAAATCGTCATCCCAGTGGAACAAACATCCATTAAAAACTTGTGAAACCCCTAACAGAGGGAGCCTATATTTATTTTATTTATTTATTTAATAGACTTGTCCCCGCCCATCTCCCCACAACGGGG